TTGTAGAGTCCTTGGTGTTATTCTTTTCTTACTGCTGCTGATTCTTCTGTGATATCCTTTCATAGTATCACTAAAGTAGATACTGTGAAGCTATGGAGGAGAAGGCTTTATTTCCCTGAGCTTGGGTTATGTGACTGTCTGGCAGCGGAGGCAGTGTTTGGGTTAGCAGGGCTTTCTTCCTTAGATCTTCTATTTTGTCAAGATTTGGGTTACATACTTAGAATTCTTAGGTCATTTTGTGGTCTACGTGGGTTCATGTAGTTGTACCTTCAATTAGGCCATCACATGCTTTGATGAGCGATGGTTTCTTGAAGAATAAGAGCTGGTAGGATGCCGCTGCTACCGCTGCTGCCACATTACCCCCCTATCCACCCTGTCATATTCTTTCTTTCTTTCAACACACAGGCCATATCCCACCAAGGCAGGCTGGCCCAAAAAGAAAAACGAAAGTTTCTCTTTTAAATTTAGTAATTTATATGGGAGAAGGGGTTACTGGCCCCTTTTCCCGGCATTTTAGTCGCCTCTTACAACACGCATGGCTTACGGAGGAAGAATTCTGTTCCACTTCCCCATGGAGATAAGAGGAAATAAACAAGAACAAGAACTAGAAAGAAAGTAGAAGAATACCTAGACGAGTGTGTATATATATGCTTGTACATGTATGTGTAGTGTGACCTAAGTGCAAGTAGAAGTAACAAGACGTACCTGAAATCTTGCATGTTTATGAGACAGACAAAAGACACCAGCAATCCTACCATCATGTAAAACAATTACAGGTTTTCGTTGTACACTCACTTGGCAGGACGGTAGTACCTCCCTGGGCGGTTGCTGTTTACCAACCTACTACCTAGGACCCTGTCATGTGCCTTTTCCAAATCCATAAATGCCACAAAATCCTCTATACTCTTATCTAAATTCTGTTCACCTATATGTTTTACTGTAAACACTTGGTCTACACACCCCCTACTTTTCCTAAAGCCTCCTTGTTCATCTTCTATCCTACTCTCTGTCTTATTCTTAATTCTTTCAATAATAACTCTACCATACACTTTACCAGGTATACTCAACGGGCTTCTTTCTTTCAACACAGCGGCCATATCCCACCAAGGCAGGGTGGCCCAAAAAGAATAACGAAAGTTTCTCTTTCTAAATTTAGTAATTTATACAGGAGAAGGGGTTACTAGCGCCTTGCTCCCGGCATTTTAGTCACCTCTTACGACACACATGGCTCACGGAGGAAGAATTCTGTTCCACTTCCCCATGGAGATAAGAGGAAATAAACAAGAGCAAGAACTAGAAAGAAAATAGCAGAAAGCCCAGAAGGGTGTGTATATATATATGCTTGTACATGTATGTGTAGTGTGACCTAAGTGTAAATAGAAGTAGCAAGATGTACCTGAAATCTTGCATGTTTACAAGACAGAAAAAAGGACACCAGCAATCCTACCATCATGTAAAACAATTACAGGCTTTCATTTTACATTCACTTGGCAGGACGGTAGTACCTCCCTGGGTGGTTGCTGTCTACCAACCTACTACCTAGGCTCAGCAGACTTATTCCCCTATAATTTTTGCACACTCTTTCATCCCCTTTGCCTTTATACAAACTATGCATGCTCTCTGCCAATCCCTAGGTACCTTACCCTCTTCCTTACACTTATTAAATAATAGCACCAACCACTCCAAAACTATATCCCCTCCTGCTTTTAACATTTCTATCTTTATCCCATCAATCCCAGCTTACGCCCTTTCATTCTACCCACTGCCTCAACTTTCCCCACACTCACAACTGGCTCTTCCTCACTCCTGCAAGATGTTATTCCTCCTTGCTTTATACACGAAATCACAGCTTCCCTATCTTCATCAACATTTAACAATTCCTCAACATCCTTAACATCTTCCCGATACCTCTAACTCTCCATTTAATAACTCTCCTCTCCTATTTTTAACTGACAAATCCATTTGTTCTCTAGGCTTCCTTAACTTTTTAATCTCACTCCAAAACTTTTTCTTATTTTCAACAAAATTTGTTGATAACATCTCACCCACTCTCTCATTTGCTCTTTTTTTACATTGCTTCACCACTCTCTTAACCTCTCTCTTTTTCTCTCTATATACTCTTCCCTCCTTATCTTCAATATTAAGTTCATGATAGATTTTTGCTTGTTTCATGATTAACATTATGTTAGCGGCATATGCTCTCCCTGATACTGACAAATCCACTCCATCAATACACCATCGTGATCCTCATTTTTCCCTATATGCAGTGTTTTTCTATTTTTCATTAATTTCTGTTAATTGCTTTTAGCATAGAACTTCAACAATTTGTCCTTCTGTTAATTGAGGTAGTAGATAGTGGTTGTTCCAGCACCAAACTTCTCAGTCAGATGCTTCACACTTACACTGCTGTTAAGTTTTTAAAGCAACTTGACTTTATGTGATATAAATAAACATAAATGCTTCCTTTTTTTTTCACTATTATCCATACACCTTTACGACATTTTCAACAATATCTTGACACCACAGAGCACAAACATGTGGTAATTGGCGAGTAATTTCTGCTGACAACAAACTGACACAAGTACAAACATCTGTCTCAGCTCAGCAAATAAAGGATTGAGCCTCCACCACATCTTGTGCTAGAATTATCCCCTTATGGTGCGTCATGTCAACACTGAAAAAACTTACAGATTTTGGACGTTTTCAGATTTTAGAATTTCATATAAAGGATAATGTATTTTTGGGAGATTCTGAAGAGAAGTTGCAAAAGTTAGTGGACAAGTTTGGGAGTGTGTGTAAAGGAAGTTGAAAGCAAACATAAATAAAAGTGCTGTAATGAGGGTATGAAGCGAGTTAGGTAGTGAAAACTGGATGTCAAATTGGAGGGAGTATGGAAGAAGTGAATGTGTTCCGATATTTGAAAGTGGACGTGGTGGTGGAAGAGTCTATGAAAGATGAGGTAAAACCATAGAATTGATGAAGGGGAAAAGGTGGGATATCTGTGGAGACAAAGAACATTGTGCATGGAGGCAGAGGGGAATGTATGAGTGTATAGTGGTACCACTACTCTTATATGGGTGTGAAGGATGGGTTGTAAATGATGCAATGAGGAGGAGGTTGGAGGCAGTGGAGATGTGTCTGAGGGCACTGTGTGGTGTAAGTATTATTCACAGAAGTCATAGTTTGGAGATTAGGATGGGGTGTGAAGTTACTAAAAGTATTATTCACATGGTTAAGGAGGGTTTGGTGAGGTGGTTTGCTAATGTTAAGAGGACAGAGCAAAATAGGATGACTTGGAGAGAGTAAAAATCTGTAGTGGAGGGAAGGCAGGGCAAGAGTTGCCCTAGAAGATGATGGAGAGGGGCTTGGACATACAGCAGGCATGTGTGAGTATTTTTGATTGGAGTGGAGACAAGTGATTTTTGGGACCTGACAAGCTGTTGGAGTGTAAGCAAGGTAATATTTTGAAAAGGGATTCAGGGAAACTGGTTAGCTGGACTTGAATCCTGTAGGTTGGAAATACAATGCCTGCACTCTAAAGGAGGGGGTTTGGGATATTTACTGTTTGGAATGGCATGTCAGCTGTCATATCTGCACACCTTTGGCTAGACACTATACACTGGTAATAATGGTACTGGCATTACACTGGTAATAAGGGGACTGACAAGATTCACTGGTAATAAGATTGACACTTTACACAGGTAATAATGGTACTGACACTACTCTGGTAATAATGGTACTGACACTATACACTTTTAATGATGGTACTGACACTATACACTGGTAATAATGGGACTAATGCTATATACTGGTAAAAATAGTACTGACATTACACTGGTAATAATGGTACAGGTCGGCCATCACTAATCTGGCAGTCAGTTATCCGGTTCCATCAGTAATTCAGCACTAATTTCGGCTAACATAATTTCAAATTTCCAGGGTTGCCACACCAACCTCCTGCTACTGTTTGGTGGTGCTACTTGCTGCATAAGTCATTCCAATTTCTTTTTCTCCATTTATTGTTAAAACCTGCTTACTTTTAGCCCTAGCCATGGTTTCAACGAATAAAAGAAATGCTTCTCGTTGTGTAAAGCACATACATAGTACATTTCCCAGGAAACATTAGGTGGCTTTGAAGCTGCTGTCACTTGCCATGGGCTCAGTCTCTTGATACAGGGGAATATGCTTTATTATTAACCCGTAAATGGTCCAAACGTATACAGTGGACCCCCGCTTTACGATCAGCTCCCAATGCAACCAATTATGTAAGTGTATTTATGTAAGTGCGTTTGTGCGTGTATGTTGGGGGTCTGAAATGGACTAATCTAATTCACAATATTCCTTATGGGAACAAATTCGTTCAGTAATGGCACCTGAACATACTTCTGGAATGAAATAATATCGTAAACCGGGGGTCCACTGTATATACGTTCACTACCCTAGTGCCCCGAATATTTTGATGAAAATGAAGAGCACATTTTTCTAAGTGTTATAGGATTAAAATAAAAAAATTACGGTCAATACTTACTGAGATATGAGGCTGCAAAGTTGGCACTTAATGCTCACCTGACAGCAACATCGAGTCCTGCCACTTGCAGAAGTGTTGCCAATATATCATTTTTCTCATTTTTATATTATTTATGTAATTTTTATGATCTGATAATTACAGTTTATTGTAGTTCTTGTCATTTCATAGCCAATCTTTCTTCTGACACTAATATTAGGTACTGAAATTGTATTCAAATTGTCATAAACACATTGACAGGTGGACATTTACACCTGCCTTGGTCATTTACTATTGTTTAGGAATATATACAAAGTATTTATAGGTCCCAGCAATGTTTTGGATACACGGGAGTATAGAAGAAGAAGAAGGAAGAAGGAAAGAGAAGGAGGAAGAAGGAGAAAGAAGTTCCTTTGAAGCATTGTGTAAGACAAGTGTTCAGTGACAAGCATCAGGGAGGGCAGTGATAAGATGAGATATGAGATGACATTTGATGGGCGCCAGCGAGGGTGCAGAGATAATGGATGACATTTGATGAGCTCATATCTCTGATTATCTCTGTCTGCTTGTTTCTGTCGGTCTCAGAGAGAGCCACTGTAAACCAACAGGTATTATTATGCATTATATCTACAAGCACAGATTAGCACTTCGGCTTTTTTAGGTTATCCTAGGTAATTTACACTATGTATAATTGTATTTGTGTGTACCTGTTAGACAGAGACAGAGGTAGACAGAAATAGACAGAGACAGATAGAGACAGAGACAAACAGACAGACAGACCCTAAACTTGGGGTTAACATCACTTTCCTCTTAAAAGGGGAGTGTTAATATGAAATTACATCAGTGAATCCTTGGTGTTTGCCATACTGTTTGCTCTAGCTGGTGCTCAGTACAGTGGACCCCCGCATAACGATTACCTCTGAATGCGACCAATTATGTAAGTGTATTTATGTAAGTGCGTTTGTACGTGTATGTTTGGGGGTCTGAAATGGACTAATCTACTTCACAATATTTCTTATGGGAACAAATTCGGTCAGTACTGGCACCTGAACATACTTCTGGAGTGAAAAAATATCGTTAACCGGGGGTCCACTGTATAACTGGTGCTCTCACAAGGTACTAAGTGGACCCAGATTTTTTTAATATTGTGCACACCGAGTGTTACGACCCATTCTATGCTGACCAGGCATCTCAGGCCAATCGTGCTAGATTTGGAGGCAGGAAAAATAAAACGTATACGTATATATGTTTGGGGCGCTAGCAGTAAGAACGTACATGTGCTGTATATATACGTTTGGACCGTTTACGGGTTAAGCTAATATCAACACTAGGATTTATTGATCTAATATAGCATAATAAACAATATAAATAAAAAACATGGTAAATACTCCAGAATGAATAATATTAGGCATAATATTGGGTGGTCCAACAGAGGTACGAAGAGGTTATGGGATACAAGTACCATCCTCCTATCCCTGTCTTGGGGGCTTAGAGAAAGCGGAGTGTAGTACAGGGCTAACTGTGATATACAATCGTAATGTACCATAAAACTGAAAGAAAAAAGCTGTTTTATGGATTTTTTTTTTTTTTTTTTTGGTAAGCACTTGTTTTCATTGATTATCTCGGAAGTAAGTTATTCACTTATGTCTTAACATACAGCATTAATAATGATAGAAATGCAATGAATTTCACAAACAACATAAAAAAATGATTGTTTTGCAAACTTGTGAAGTTATTTTTTGTAATATCACAGTTTGTTTTTGATTTGTGTGTAAGCAAGCAAGCAAGCTTATTTAGGTATACACAAATACAGTTACATAGATTATCACACATAGCAGCATTTGTGTAGAGAACTTAGGACAACCCAAAAATGTAAGACAAAGTGACTTATTTCTAGTACCTGGTTTGGGCTTGCCATATTGAATCTTGGGTAATATATGATGGAGAGAAGTTTCTTAACCCTTTGACTGTCACAACTCCAAATCCTGAAGTGTCTCCTGGTGTTGCAAAATTTTTGAAAAAAAAAAAATTATTTTTTTTAATGAAATGATAGAGAATCTTTTCCTGATGGTAATGACACCAAAAGTACGAAATTTGATCGAAAACTTATGGAATTACGCTCCCGCAAAGTTAGCAATCTCGGCGATATATACACATCGGCAATATTGCCGACTTTGAGCCCTATTTTCAGGCAATTCTATTGTTCCAGTTGACGAAACCCATAGCTATTTCTTTAGAACTTCATTTTTTTCTATCAATTGAGTATAAGAACCCACCCATTTACTGATTTCAATTACCCAATAAAGTGGTCAGAAGTTAGCAATTTGGCCACTTTCACGCAAATTAGAAAAGATGCCAATTTCAAAATAGGGTCCAGAATAAACAATGCAGACATTTTTGGCACTAAAATAACATATCCTCTGTTTATTAGTCATGTCTCCAGGCCCCTCTTATATTACTCTTGCTTTCTATTTTGAATGGTACTGCCCTTGATACTGGCCATGTAGTCAGAAACTGTAAGGCTGGAGATGATGTCCTGGTAGTCAGTAAATGGGGGGCTGATAGTGCTGTCCTGGGAGACAGTAATTGGGAAGCTGGAGGTGCTGTCCTGGGAGACAGTAATGGTGAAGCTGGAGGTGCTGTCCTGGGAGACAGTAATGGTGAAGCTGGAGATGCTGTCCTGGGAGGCAGTAATGGGGAAGCTGGAGATGCTGTCCTGGGAGACAGTAATGGTGAAGCTGGAGATTTTGTCCAGGTAGTCGGGAATTATACGCAGGAAGGAATACATATAAATGACCTCATAGGGGACAGGAGCCATAGTAGGGAAACAAGTGTAGTCAAAGATAAGATAAAACCAATATTGCAAACTAGAAATACCGCAGGAAATAGCAAACAAGAGGACTCCACTAGCAATAGTGAGGATATATTACCAAAAACAACTGGTGGGAGCTCCATTGTTGGTGCTAGGGAGGATAGAAGTAAGACAGGGAAACATACACCAACAGGGAATACAGTCACAGAAACCCAAGGCAAACGGAAACCAAGCCTGTGCACATACTATGCACTCGGTATCTGCTGACATGGGAAATCTGGAAAAACAGATGGGACGTGCAACTATGACCACCCTAGGAAATGCCATGCCCATATGACAACAGGAAAATGCAAACTCCCTTCCTGTAAGCTTTTTCACCCTGAACTGTGTACCTCTTCAGTACAGGAAAGACTGTGCTATAACTTAAATTGCCAGGCATACCATCTAAAGGGGACAAAAAGATACAAAACATCCAGGCCATGGGAAAACCTGGGTAGCCACAGCCACTCAAGAGGGAGAGGTTTTTTAGTGCCAGGAAGGAAAAAAAACTGGCAGGAAATGGCAGAAATCGTACACCAAATCCAGTCATTCTGGAGTGGAACCACAGTCGATGGCCTCCACTCCAAACCAACAGATACAGATACTAATGCCGGAAAAAAAAAAAAAAATCCCCCCCCAGTACCAACAATACCACCAGTCCGATAACATTCTTCTTTGCAAATATACAGGGTCTAAAGCCAGCAACAAACAACAAAATACCTTTCATCCGTGGACTGCTTGCAGAGGCAAAGGCAATGTTCGCGGCTTTCACTGAGACCCACATAAAGGATCACTTGGACAACGAAATATGGATCCCAGGTTACAACCTATACAGATGTGACAGAGTGAACAGGCAAAAGGGGGGGGTTGGCCTGTACATTGCAGAGTCACTTGTTTGCACAGAACTGCTAAATGCCTCAAATGATGTAGTGGAAGTTTTAGCAGTAAAGGTCGAGAACCAAAACCTAGTCATTGTGATAGTCTACAAGCCTCCGGATGCAACATCCCAGCAATTCCAGGAACAGCTGTTAAAAATTGACCACTGTCTGGAAAACCTTCCAGCTCCTGCACCCAACATCTTGCTCCTGGGGGATTTCAACTTAAGGCACCTAAAATGGAGGAATATAGCAAATAATATTGTTGCAGTAATTAACACCAGGAGGCAGCTCTGATGAAAACTCACACTCACGCGAGCTTTTAAATCTCTGCACAAAATTCAATTTAAACCAGCAAATAATAGAGCCTACTAGACTGGAGAATACACTAGACCTCATCTTCACTAACAATGATGATCTGATAAGAAATATCACCATATCAAAAACAATATACTCAGATCACAACATAATTGAGGTTCAGTCATGTATGCGCGGAGCCCCAGACCGCCATAATAAGATTAGTCACGAGGGAGCATTCACCAAATTCAACTTCAATAACAAAAACATAAAGTGGGACCAAGTAAACCAAGTCCTAACCGATATAAGCTGGGAAGATATACTAAGCAACACAGACCCCAACTTATGCCTAGAACAGATTAACTCGGTGGCACTCGATGTATGCACAAGGCTTATTCCTCTAAGAAAAAGGAGGAGTAGATGTAAAACAGAAAGAGACAGGCGCTCCCTTTACAGGCGACGGAAAAGAATAACAGAGCGGCTAAAAGAGGTCAATATATCTGAAATGCGTAGGGAGACACTGGTCAGAGAAATAGCAAGCATCGAACTTAAGCTAAAAGAATCCTTTAGGAGTCAGGAATCGCGGGAAGAACTAAAAGTTATAAATGAAATCGAAAGAAACCCAAAGTATTTCTTCTCCTATGCCAAATCAAAATCGAGAACAACGTCCAGTATTGGGCCTCTACTTAAACAAGATGGGTCCTACACAGATGACAGCAAGGAAATGAGTGAGCTACTCAAGTCCCAATATGACTCAGTTTTTAGCAAGCCGCTAACCAGACTGAGAGTCGAAGATCAAAATGAATTTTTTATGAGGAGAGCCACAAAATTTGATTAACACAAGCCTATCCGATGTTATTCCTGACGCCAAATGACTTTGAACAGGCGATAATTGACATGCCCATGCACTCTGCCCCAGGGCCAGACTCATGGAACTCTGTGTTCATCAAGAACTGCAAGAAGCCCCTATCACGAGCCTTTTCCATCCTATGGAGAGGGAGCATGGACACGGGGGTCGTCCCACAGTTACTAAAAACAACAGACATAGCCCCACTCCACAAAGGGGGCAGTAAAGCAACAGCAAAGAACTACAGACCAATAGCACTAACATCCCATATCATAAAAATCTTTGAAAGGGTCCTAAGAAGCAAGATCACCACGCATCTAGAAACCCATCAGTTACACAACCCAGGGCAACATGGGTTTAGAACAGGTCGCTCCTGTCTGTCTCAACTATTGGACCACTACAACAAGGTCCTAAATGCACTAGAAGACAAAAGAATGCAGATGTAATATATACAGACTTTGCAAAAGCCTTCGACAAGTGTGACCATGGCGTAATAGCGCACAAAATGCGTGCTAAAGGAATAACAGGAAAAGTCGGTCGATGGATCTATAATTTCCTCACTAACAGAACACAGAGAGTAGTCGTCAACAGAGTAAAGTCCGAGGCAGCTACGGTGAAAAGCTCTGTTCCACAAGGCACAGTACTCGCTCCCATCTTGTTCCTCATCCTTATATCCGACATAGACAAGGATGTCAGCCACAGCACCGTGTCTTCCTTTGCAGATGACACCCGAATCTGCATGACAGTGTCTTCCATTGCAGACACTGCAAAGCTCCAGGCAGACATCAACCAAATCTTTCAGTGGGCTGCAGGAAAACAATATGAAGTTCAACGATGAGAAATTTCAATTACTCAGATATGGTAAACATGAGGAAATTAAATCTTCATCAGAGTACAAAACAAATTCTGGCCACAAAATAGAGCGAAACACCAACGTCAAAGACCTGGGAGTGATCATGTCGGAGGATCTCACCTTCAAGGACCATAACATTGTATCAATCGCATCTGCTAGAAAAATGACAGGATGGATAATGAGAACCTTCAAAACTAGGGAGGCCAAGCCCATGATGACACTCTTCAGGTCACTTGTTCTATCTAGGCTGGAATATTGCTGCACACTAACAGCACCTTTCAAGGCAGGTGAAATTGCCGACCTAGAAAATGTACAGAGAACTTTCACAGCGCGCATAACGGAGATAAAACACCTCAATTATTGGGAGCGCTTGAGGTTCCTAAACCTGTATTCCCTGGAACGCAGGAGGGAAAGATACATGATTATATACACCTGGAAAATCTAGAGGGACTAGTACCGAACTTGCACACGAAAATCACTCACTACGAAAGCAAAAGACTTGGCAGACGATGCACCATCCCCCCAATGAAAAGCAGGGGTGTCACTAGCACGTTAAGAGACCATACAATAAGTGTCAGGGGCCCGAGACTGTTCAACTGCCTCCCAGCACACATAAGGGGGATTACCAACAGACCCCTGGCAGTCTTCAAGCTGGCACTGGACAAGCACCTAAAGTCAGTTCCGGATCAGCCGGGCTGTGGCTCGTACATTGGTTTGCGTGCAGCCAGCAGCAACAGCCTGGTTGATCAGGCTCTGATCCACCAGGAGGCCTGGTCTCAGACCGGGCCGCGGGGGCGTTGACCCCCGGAACTCTCTCCAGGTAACACAAAAATAGAAGATTTACTGTTATGCAAACTACTGCATTATTGTAAAAATGGTATAAATAATATCAGTGCACTAGAGAAAGAATATTAGACTCCCCAGTTGACATGTATTGGACGTGTGGTGTGATTTGCTTACTCTTGAACACTGGTAAAAATCGAACATTACGGTACTTTGAGCTCGATTTCAAAGTCGTTTTAATCAAGAAACTAATCAAAATCATCTCTATTACTATAATATGTTTTCCATTCTATCAAATGAGACCAAGAAAACGAGAATACAACCATAAATACTATACAGTGGACCCTCTCCTTACGATATTAATCCATTCCTGAGGCTCATCGTAAGCCGAAATTATTGTTAGCTGAATTAATTTTTGCCATAAGAAATAATGGAAATCAAATTAATCCGTTCCTGACACCCCAAAGTATGAAAAAAAAAAATTTACGACATGAAATATTAATTTTAATACACACAAACTGAAGAAGACATGCACAATTACTACTCTACTAAGAAAAGAATACATGACACTTAACTTTATTGAAGATCTGGTGATGATTGATGGGATGGGAGGAGGGGAGAGTGTGGAAGTTATTGTTTAGAAGGGGAATCCCCTTCCATTAGGACTTGAGGTAGCAAGTCCTTTTCCAGGGTTACTTTCCTTCTTCTTTTAATGCCACTAGGACCAGCTTGAGAGTCACTGGACCTCTGTCGCACAACAAATCTATCTATAGAGCTCTGTACCTCCCGTTCCTTTAAGACTTTCCTAAAATGGGCCATAACATTGTCATTGTACAGGTTGCCAACACGGCTTGTAGTAGCTGTGTCAGGGTGATTTTCATCTGTAAAGGTTTGCAGTTCAACCCACTTTGCACACACATTTCCTTAATCTCTTTTTTCAATTCCATACTAATTCTCGCCCTTTTTACCACAGGGATGGCACTAGAAGCTTTCTTGGGGTCTATGGTGACTTATTTTGCAGTTACAAGCACTAAAAACACTGGGATAATGTGAAATGTACCGAATGTATGCGTAGATGTGACTGCACTGGCTGGCTTGTAAACACTGGTGCTGAGGCTACATGTGGGATGCGTCCCAGATGAATCACGTAAAATAAGTCTTTTATCATGAGGCCAGGCAAAATTTTTGCGTTTAAATGCTTCATATGGCGTATTTAACCCTTTGACTGTTTTCGACGTATAAATACGTCTTACGAGCCAATGTTTCTGACGTATATATACTCAATAATTCTAGCAGCTTCAAATCAAGCGGGAGAAAGCTGGTAGGCCCACATGTGAGAGAATGGGTCTGTGTGGTCAGTGTGCACCACATAAAAAAAATCCTGCAGCACACATTGCGTAATGAGAAAAAAAAAACTCTGATCTTTTTTTGGAATAAAACGCCGACTTTGAGGTGTATTTTCGTATAGTATTTATCGTTGTATTCACGTTTTCATGGTCTTAGGTGATAAAATGGAAAACGTATTACAGAAATAGAGATGATTTTCATTACTTTGACAATGAAAACGACCTTGAAACTGAGCTCAAAGTAGCGGAAATGTTCGATTTTTACCAATGTTCAGGAGTAAATAAATCACACCACACGTCCAATACACGTCAACTGGGGAGTCTAATATTCTTTCACTAGTGCACTGATATTATTTATATCATTTTTACAATAATGCACTAGTCTGCATAACAGTAAATTTTGTATTTTTTTGTATGAATAAAAAATCAAAATAGAAAGCAATAATAATATAAGAGGGGCCTAGAGATATGACTAATGAACAGAGCATATGTTATTTTAGTGCCACGAATGTCTACCTTGTTTATTCTGGACCCTATTTTGAAATTGGCATCTTTTTTAGTTTGTGTGAAATTGGCCAAATTGCCAATTTCTGACCACCATTTTGGGTAGTCAAAATTAGTAAATGGGAGGTTTCTTGTACTCAGCTGATAGATAAAATGGAGTTCTAAAGAAATAGCTATGAGTTTGGTCAACTGGAACAATGGAATTGGCTGAAAATAGGGCTCAAAGTCGGCGAAATCGCCGATACGCATATGTCGCCGAGACCGCTAACTTCGCGGGAGCATAATTCCATGAGTTTTCGACCAAATTTCGAACTTTTGGTGTCATTACCATCGGGAAAAGATTCTCTATCATTTCATAAGAAAAAATAATCTTTTTTTTTTTCAAAAATTGAGCGACATAGAATGACAGTTTCAGAGAGGGGCCTGAAACAGTCAAAGGGTTAATGTAACGCGATGCTTTCATAAGGCGGGGGTCCAGTGTACAAAAATACACCTCAAAGTCGGCATTTTAATCCAAAAACACAGTCGGTGTTGTTGTTTTTTCTCATGCACTGCGTGCTGCAGGATTTTTTTTATACAGTGCACACTGACCACACAGACCCATTCTCTCACATGTGGGCCTACCAGATTTCTCCTGCTTGATTTGAAACCGCTAGAATTATTGAGTATATATATGCCTGAAACACTGGCTCGTAAGACATATGTATACAGCCGAAACAGTCAAAGGGTTAACGTACACCAAAAATAAATAGAAATCAGACAATAAATAACAGAGTTCACTTCTCAGCCATTAGCTGCCCCTTAGCAGTATATTTTCGTATGGTTTATATGGTTGTATTCTCGTTTTTTTGGTCTCACTTGATAGAATTTGATAGAATGGTTTCACGACAAAAAATACCTTGAAATTGAGGTCAAAGTAGTGAAAATGTTCGATTTTTGCCGTGTTTAGGAATAAACAAATGATGTCACTGTCCAATACATGTCCAACTGGCCATTCTATTACTCAGTCACAAATGGGTTGACATTATTTATGCATTTATTACAATAATGCAGTCGTCTGCATAACAGTAAATCTTCTGTTTTTTTTGTGAATAAAAATTCAAAATGGAAAGCAAGAGTAATGTAAGTTGGGCTTTGAGACGTGACTGTTGAATGGAGTAAATGTTATTTTAGTGCCAAGAATGTCTGCAGTGTTTATTCTGGACCCTATTTTGAAATTGGCATCTTTTGAAATTTGAGTGAAATTGGCCAAATTGACATTTTCTGACCACTTTATTGGATAGTTGAAATAGGTGAATGAGTGGTTTCTTGTGCTCATCGACAGAATAAGGAATACTAGTGAAACAGCTATGAGTTTGGTAGACTGGAACAATGGAATGGGTCAAAAATTAGGGCATAAATTGGGTGAAATCGCCGATGCGTATATATTGCTGTTGGGTTCAGCATATTCTAACCTAAGCACTCTGTAATCCAGCACCCTACAGGTCCCAATGATGCCGGATTAGTGATGGCCGATCTGTACTGACACTCTGTACTGTTGATAATAAGACTGACACTACACTGGTAATAATGGACTGACACTATGCTGGTAATAATGGATTGACACTACAGTGGTAATAATGGACTGACACTACACTGGTAATAATGGACTGACACTACACTGGTAATAATGAACTAACATTGTTGACAGGTTAAACACCTGAAGGTGATGAATGGAAGCATCAAGAAACTGGTTGAAGCTGGCCAGGTGGTTGCTGTACAGCGAGACAGAAGTGGCCTCAGCTCCTCCAGAATAACTTTACAAGATGGTCAACTGCACCTCCACACTCTACTACACCAGTCTCCACCCACCCATTCCTACTCTCTCCAGGTAACTGTATGACACTAACTGGACCTGCACATACTGCTGCACCAGTCTCCACCTACCCATGCTTACACTCTCCAGGTAACTGTTTCCCATGACAAGAAGCCCCCTCCCTTAATTTAAAGAGGTTATAAATGTCTAATTTTAATGATAAATGAACATTACCTTTATTGAAGACTCATGTTGGCATATGGAATATGGCAAGGAGGGGAGAGTGAAGAGAGGTTATTGTTTAGAATGGCAGGAGGAAAAGACAATAGATTATTACGAAAAAAAAACAATAGATTATTATGGAATGTTTCATATGAACGTGCAGGGTAATGTTCACTCGCTGAGAAACAATGCCATACTGACTCAGAATGCGTGCATGGAAGGCTTCGTGTGCGCATGGCAGGTGGACACATTTGATATGGCAGATGAAATCTGAGGTGAGGAATGAAAATGGAGACAATATTTTGACGAAAAGTCATCGATAACTGAAATCAATGAAACTGGGGGCAAACAAAAACCGACATTCCACTGTATAGGCATTTTCATTAATCCATATATATTTTTTCAAAATTATACAACACGCTACATAATATATAAAGATGATTTACCAACAGAATAAACTGACATAAATATGAGATGTGGTAGCCAGGTGGCTTATCAGAGTGATAGCAAGAATTAGTTTTTCTCTGTCCAGCAATAGAGAAAAGGTGTACACACTGGTATTACTGGGGGTAACTGTAGAAAATTATTCCTTTCGTATGCCTTCACTTGTAGCTATAATAATAATACAGCGGACCCCCGGTATTCGATATTAATCCATTCCTGAGAGCTCATCGAATGCCGAAAATATCGAAAGGCGAATTAATTTTCCCCATAAGAAATAATGGAAATCAAATTAATCCATGCAAGACACCCAAAAGTATGAAAAAAAAAAATTTACCACATGAAATATTAATTAAGTTTAATGCAATAGAATAATTACAATAACATTAAAAATAGATTAATAACAATAGAATAATTGACACTTACCTGATGATGGGATGGGAGGAGGGGAGAGTGTGGATAGTGTTAGTGTTCAGAAGGGGAATCCCCTTCCATTAGGACTTGAGGTATCAAGTCTTATTTCCCTTCTTCTTTTAATGACACTAGGACCAGCTTCAGAGTCATTGGACTTGTGTCGCACAACATATCTGTCCATAGAGGCCTGTACCTCTCGTTCCTTTATGACTTTCCTAAAGTAGTTCACAACATTATCAGTGTACAGGTTGCCAACACGGCTTGCAGTAGCTGTGTCAGGGTGATTTTCATCAAAAAAGGTTTGCACTTCAAGCCACTTTGCACACATTTTCTTGATCTTTGAAAGTAGACAATTTCTTCAATTTCTCTCTCCCCTCCTCCGAAGCAGTTTCCTCAGGTCTGGCCTCTTGCTGTTGAAGATGATCTAGCAGCTCATCAGTGGTTAGTTCGTCATTGTCCTCCTCCACCAACTCTTCCACATCCTCCTCACTAATCTCCATGCCCAAGGACTTCCCCAATGCGACAATGGATTCCTCAACTGGCATACACTTCTCAGGGTTAGCCTCAAACCCTTCAAAATTCCTTTTGTCTACACATTCTGGCCACAGTTTTTTCCAAGCAGAGTTCAAGGTCCTCTTAGTCACTTCCTCCCAAGCCTTACCTATCAGGTTTATACAATTGAGGATATTAAAGTGATCTCTCCAAAACTCTTTTAGAGTCATTTGAGTTTCTGTGGTCACTACAAAGCACTTTTGAAACATAGCTTTTGTGTACAGTTTCTTGAAGTTGGAAATGACCTGCTGGTCCATGGGCTGCAGGAGAGGAGTGGTATTAGGAGGCAAAAACTTGACCTTAATGAAGCTCATGTCCACAGAAAGTCGCTCTGCTATGTCTGAAGGATGACCAGGAGCATTGTCTAATACCAGGAGGCACTTAAGGTCTAATTTCTTTTCAGTTAGGTAATTTTTCACAGTGGGGCAAATACATGGTGTAACCAGTCATAGAAAAAGTCCCTAGTGACCCATGCCTTACTGTCTGCCCTCCACAGCACATACAAATTAGCCTTGAGGATATTCTTTTGCCTGAACAGCTCTGGGAGTTTCTGAGTGATACACCAATAAAGGCTTCACTTTGCAATCACCGCTAGCATTGGCACACATCAGAAGAGTAAGCCTGTCTTTCATAGGCTTATGTCCTGGGAGTGCCTTTTCCTCCTGAGTAATGTAGGTCCTGCTTGGCAATTTCTTCCAAAACAGGCCTGTTTTGTCACAATTAAACACTTGTTCATGTTTCAATCCTTCACCCTCTATGTACTCCTTGATTTCATGCACATATTTTTCAGCTGCTTTGTGGTCCGAACTGGCAGCCTCACCATGCCTTACCACTCTGTGTATGCCACTACGATTCTTAAATCTTTCAAACCAACCTTTGCTGGCCTTAAATTCACTCACATCACCACTAGCTGCAAGCAATTTCTTTACCAAATCATCATGCAACTACCTAGCCCTTTCACAAATGATCGCTTGAGAGATGCTATCTCCTGCTATCTGTTTTTCATTTATCCACACCAATAACAGTCTCTCAACATCTTCTAACACTTGCGATTTCTGTTTCGAAAACAAAGTTGCACATTTTGCAACAACAGCTTCCTTGATTGCCGTTTTCCTGCTCACTATAGTAGAGATGGTTGATTGGCGTTTACTATACAACTTGGCCAGCTCCGACACACGCACTCCACTTTTGTACTTTGCAATCATCTCTTTCTTCATTGCAATAGTCATTAGCACCTTTTTTCTCGAAGGGTTGGCACTAGAAGCTTTCTTGGGGCCCATGGTTACTTATTTTGCAGAAACAAGCACCAAAAACAGTGATATTATGGATAATATGGAATGTACCGAATGTATCCTTAGATGCACGCACACTGGCTGGCTTGTAAACACTGGCACACATGGGGCAGTTCAGGCCACACGTGGACACATCTTGTACGAATCGCATTGAATAGCGGGTTTTCGATTGAATGCCGAGACGAAATTTTTGCGTTAAAATGCATCGAATGCCAGATTTATCGAATGCCGATGCCATTGAATGCTGGGGGTCCACTGTACATACAGTGGTACCCCAGTTATCGGCCGTAATCCGTTCCAGAAGGTTGACCTGAATCTAAAATGGCTGAAAACCGAATCAATATTTCCCATAAGAAATGATGTAAATGCAATTAATCCGTTTCAGACACCCAAAAATATTAAAAAAAAAAAAAATACATTTTTTAACCCTTTCAGGGTTTCTGATATACTCACCAGGGTTATTGACGTACTAGTATGCGTAAATTCTAACGCCTTCAAATCTAGCAAGAGAAAGCTGGTAGGCCTACATATGAAAGAATGGGTCTATGTGGTCAGTGTGCACAGCATAAAAAAAATCCTGCAGCGCACAGTGTGCAATGAGAAAAAAAACTTTGACCATGTTTTTGGTTTAAAACAGAGACTTTGTACTGTATTTTCATATGGTATTTATGGCTGTATTCTAGTTTTTCTGGCCTCATTTTATAGAATGGATGACATATTACAGAAATTGAGATGATTTTGATTGGTTTCACAATGAAAAGTACCTTGAAATTGAGCTCAAAGTAGCAGCAATGTTCAGTTTTTGCCAAAGTTCAAAAGTAAACAAATCATTCCACACGTCCAATACACATCAATTGGTGAGTCTAATATTCTTTCACAAGTGCGCTCATATTATTTATACCATTTCTACACTAATGTAGTAGTCTGCATAACAGTAAATCTTCTATTTTTTGTGAGAATAAAAATTCAAAGTAGAAAGCAAAAGAAATGTAAGAGGGGCCCGGGGACATGACTAATGAACAGAGGAAATGTTATTTTATTGCCAGGAATGTCTGTCTTGCTTATTCTGGACCCTATTTGGAAATTAACATCTTTTGAAATTTGCATGAAATTGGCAAAATTGCCAATCTCTGACCACTTTATTGGATAGTTGAAATCGGTAAATGGGTGGTTTCTTGTACTCATTCAATAGAAAAAATAAAGTTCTAGCAAAATAATTATGATTTTTGTCGACTAGTAAGAACATAAGAAAAGAACATAAGAAAGAAGGAACACTGCAACAGGCCTGCTGACCCATTCTGAGCAGGTCCATGTCCCCCCTTCCCCTGGATTAGCCCTATGCCCCCCTCCCCAGATTAGCCCAATGATCCACCCAGTCTGGTCACCTCCACTCAAGGATGGAGCATGGCACCAGACCCAGCATCTCAAGCTAGTCAGGTCCAACTCACACCCACCCACACCCACTAATGTATTTATCTAACCTATTTTTAAAACTACACAATGTTTTAGCCTGAATAACTGTGCTCGGGAGTTTGTTCCACTCATCCACAACTCTATTACCAAACCAGTGCTTTCCTACATCCTTCCTGAATCTGAATTTTTCCAACTTGAAACCATTGCTGCGAGTCCTGTCTTGGCTGGAAATTTTCAGCACGCTATTTACATCCCCTTTATTTATACCTGTTTTCCATTTATACACCTCGATCATATCCCCCCTAATTCTACGCCTTTCGAGAGAGTGCAGATTCAGGGCCCTCAGTCTATCCTCATAGGGAAGATTTCTGATACATGGGATCATCTTTGTCATCCTCCTCTGTACGTTTTCCAGAGCATTTATATCCATTCTGTAATACTGTGACCAGAACTGAGCAGCATTGTCTAAATAAGGCCTAACCAAGGATATATAGAGTTGAAGAGCAACCTGAGGACTTTTATTATTTATACTCCTAGATATGAAGCCAAGAATTCTGTTAGCTTTATTGCAAACTGTAGTGTAAAGCACCCTTCTGGCAAGACAGTGATGGAGTGAATGATGGTGAAAGTTTTTCTTTTTCGGGCCACCCTGCCTTGGTGGGAATCGGCCGGTGTGATAATAAAAAAAATAAAAAAATAATGCACTTTTGTCTTGGTTTTAGATTACTGCTAACCAGAACT